GAAACCGACAAATCCAGTTGCTGAAACCGACAAATCCAGTTGCTGAACCGCAGTTGCTGAAACCGACAAAATAGTTTCTGAAACCTAGTTGCTGAACGCAGAGTAGTTGGTGAACATTACTTTATCATGACTTTTGTGATTTAAGAAGAACTACCTTTGAGGAAGATGCTTTTGTAGCCTGCAAGAACTCGTGAAACCAGGATCTTCGGCTTGTCTGCTGTAACAAATGTCACGCTCTGCAAATTACCCACCTTCAAGATGCTGGTGCTAAACATGCGCCTGCTCGACCTGCAATCAGTGTCCAAGCAGACAAGAGACAAAGCTTCTCGCAGGTGTGTATAAATAAGCGTGTCCAGATCCGGAATATGATATTCAATTTGGCACACCTTCAAGTGCCTTTCCACTCGCAGTCAAACTGTTCAAAACCCTTGCGTGCGGAACTGAAGGACTCAACCTTGAATGACCGCAACTGCAAAGAGTCCAACCTTCGGAAAGACAAAGAGCTTTCTCGGAAACTTGATCTGAATGGATATGCGGAACAAAAGTTTCTCTGCTGAAACTCATGCAGTGATGTTATCGCGACTAAGATTTTGACGGCAAATGCAAAGTCTGATCCAGGAGCACTGCCTGAAGAACTTGGCGAGCTAAACAAGAATGTGTTTCAAGCAGGGTGAAACCACATATATAGGTGGAGCACTTCCCAGGCCAAGTCTGGCGACGGGTCAGAGATAACCTCCCAAATTGCATCTGCTGCACAAGGAGGCCACAAGATGCATTTGAACTGCCTCGCTCTCGGCAATTAGTCGGACGTGCCACCGGCCACCGGCAGAACCTAGGCACAAAACTCTCAAATTCCACTTGCACAAGCGGTGGTTAAGCTTGAGCTTTCATACTTTTAGAATGTGTGACACAGCGGATCTAATGAAACGCTCCTTTGAGGCAGCCACCACCAGGCCATGCCTACTCTTTCGCTCACAGGGAAACATTAAATGCGTTTGAATGAGTTACAGTTTCCTGGCAGTATGCAGCAGCGCATGCTGCACCGCACCTTGTCATGCCTTACCATGCCGTTCTATGCCTTGCCTTGATGTGAAACTGGCTTATGAACCCAGCACCCTGCCTGTGGCAAGGACAATGCGCTCCGGAGGGAAAAGGTGGTGTTCTGTCTGCTAGAAATTGGATTTCTCCACGTCATCAATCCCAAGCAAGGTGGGCATGCGTAAGCTCCGTAGCCGTAGACCTGGACACTTTAGGGCCCAAACTCTTTCAATGATTCATACCGATTCAAACCTCAATCAATCAATCTTGCTGATACCAACCGGCCTCCCCCTGAGAAGGGTCACCACCCATCCAATGGGAATGCCGAAGAAGATCTGAGTACTTCATGGATATGTTAATGTAAGATGCGAGAATATCCCAATATGCTGGAGCAAGTAGGGCCGGCTGAATCTGCAAATCTTGGTGCATGGCACCGCTCAGGAAAAAGCTTTGCACTTCTTGTGCAAAGTCTTCCACACTGTATGAATTGAGGTAAGCTCCAGGTTCTTCAGCTCTGCTCCATACCAGTCCACCTGTGGACAGACTGGAAAGTGGGAAAAGGGTTGCTCGCCTCAACAAATCATGCACCATGGAGTCTCTGAAAGTAATCCATTGCTGTCGAGGGGACCCAGCGCCTTTCCTTCCCAAATCAGGTCCACCTCGCCAAAGGAAGTCCACACTGCAAAGCCACCATGGAGATGGCCAAACACCAGTGAATGCTGAAACCTTAATTGAGCGAGATCTTCTCAGTTCATTGACCAAAAGAATCAGCCTGTCAACATCCTCAGCAAAATCTGCTCCAGTTGACTTTGTGCCAAGACCGTCAAACTTAAAAAAGCTGACGCCGCTGTTCAGCAAGTTCAAAGACGCGTTGAAGAACCAATCGGAGTATTGAGGCCCGGAGAGGCGCAGGGTGCTTGCTGTGCCAGGTGAAGTCGGTTCACCATGAAACTCGAATCCCATGGCAGCCCCCGTCTTCACCCTCCTGTGACCACCTTCCCCGAAACCTCCGACTGGTGACATCCAAACACCCAAAGACACACCTTTCTTTTTGGCTGCTTCAGACACACCAGCAAATCCTGATGGAAAGTTTGCGCGGTCCACCTGCCAAGGCATGCCTGCATCGTCCCATCCATCGTCAAGCAAAGCGCCCATCAATTCTATGCCTCTATCAAAAAGTTGGCTGCAAATCTCTTCGATTCGCTGATATACCTGCTGCTCATTCAGGGTTTTTGCTGCTGAGCAGTGTGTCAGTCCCAGGGGTGTAGAATCGATGCATGGGTGTCGCCTCAAGTCATACCAGGTTGCATAGTGTAAAAAGGGCTTCACAGTTGACACACGGACTTCGTCCAAGTAAGCATGAAAGTGCCGTCGCAAAAGCATCAGGGCGTCCTCAGGCTGCGCAGGCGGCACTCCAGTGACCCCAATCGATCCATAGTATGAAACTCCTGGGGAAGGATAAAACAACTCCGCGACCACCCGTGTTCCATTGCTACGAAGACCATGCACTGCCTTAGCGACAAGCAACACACGAGGGACGCGTCTGATACGCCGCCCTGCAACTGTATGTTCGTTGTTTATTCGATTGTTCCCCAATAGCCATGCTATGGGGTCTTGCAAAACTAATAGGCGGACGGGCGCCGTCGGGTCACCGTCAGAGCTGGTGGGCGGATGGTGTCCCGGTCATGTTTTGATGTCGTCCGGGTCATGTGATGCTGGTGTCCCGGTCATGTGATTGTGTCCCGGTCATGTTGTGATGGTGT